CTAGACTGTCTTTGACTTGTCCATCAAGGTTAGTTTATTTATATCTTTGTCTCTCCATTTTTATTTTTTTCTTGTACTTACTGGTGCTTTTGGTGTCATTATTTGAGAGAAATGTTGGTTGTGCATTTGAGCATTTTTTTTTTTTGGGATTTAGTATTTATAAGCTTCAGAACTTGTTTCAATTCTAAAATAATGGACATAGTTTGTACATTCAGACTTGTTTAGTGATTGTAATTTTGATGTTGTAATCCTAGTTTCTCTCTGATAAAATAAGTATATATTCAATGGAGCATCAGTTGACACATGGTTTTGACTTTTGATGAATTACACAAGAACTTTCTCAATCTTTTACCCTCTTCTCAAGGGTGATTGCTACCTTCAACTAACATTGTGACCTTAATTTAGAATGTAATCCTGCAGTGGTTACAATATCATGTAGATAGTATTTAAGTTAAATTTATTAGCATTTATTTTGATCTGGCTTTTCTCCTGCTCAAAACTGGCAGTGGGCATCATGAATGAGACCAAGGACTAATCACCTTATTTTGAGCCCTAAAATGCTGATTGTTTCTTTAGTGTGGCTAGACATTCTCAAGCAATAACTTAACGGAGGAACTTGAGCAAATTTGAGCTTGTTGAATAGTTTCTGGAGCTAAGAACATTTTTCATTAGGCATCATATTTCTCCATAAAGTCTTGCTGATTATCCTCATAACTTATAGATATTAAATTTTCTGACATTCCTTGTTTAACGAAATGAAATATCTGGTGATTTATACTTTCATGCTATGTTTGCCAGGGGCCTGGTTGGTTACAGGAGCGTGTTCAGCAGTGACACACGTGGAACTGGCTTCATGCACCGTGCTTTCCTTAGTAGGAATTGCTGTGCCCTTGTCTTTTTTTTCTGAAAAGTTTGTTGGTTTCTATCATATCGCATTACATAGCAATTGTGTTCTTTAGGATATCACAAGGTCCTCTCCATTTTATGTTACTGATCTAATCATCAGTGAAATATGTTTTTGCAAATAATGCTCTTACAGTTTTTCATATGCTTTAGGTTTTTCTTATTTCTGTGTCTTAAAACCTTTGCACTTTCTTATTTCACTGACATCTCCTACATATTTTATTTTCTTCAACATGTTTGTTTCTCCTTGCAGCTTACCTTATCATCACTGGCTTAATTATATGACAGTATGGCTAATATACATTCTTGTTATATTGCAGAGTATGAAAAATTTCGGGGTCCTCTTGGCAATGTCAGGAAAGGAGTACTGGTAAGCTTGTCTGCAGCTGTATTTATGTATGATAGCTAAGCAAGAATTACTTTTCACTTGGACCTACTAGGCACACACTATTAAGACCTATGTTTCAATTTACAGAGTTTGTTTGGAGTGATTTAACAAATAATTTTCATCTACTCATGTCATCTCCCCCCCCCCCTTTAACAGGTATCAATGGGTTATGGTGCTATAAGAGCCTATGCGCTAATGAGCTTAGAAGCTCGTGGGACTTTATTTGTAACCCCAGGAATGGAGGTTGGAACTTCCTGCCTGAATTAATTTTCCATATTTTATTCATTACATGATTTCCTTTTGTTTGGACTCTTTCATCTTTCAAATGTCGATATCTGATTTTTGTGAAGCAGATATTATATTTATATGCTACTAATTTCTTCAGTATCTCTTTATGTTTAAGAAAATGATCTCCCCATTTCTTCTATTGTATGTAATACACTCATATACTGTTTCATCAACATGCATTGGATGCTTATGAAATCTGTCCGTTTTATGTGTCTGTCAAGCATGGATTTCGATCACAAGCCTGGCACTTAACATTTATATATCTTGCTAAGTTTTACTTTAGTTTAAACGAACTGTGTCTGAATGAGTCATAGGTTTTTTCCTCCTTGATTTTGATGCGCTTTTGGAGAGAGCAGTGCTGCTAAAGATAAACATTTTCTTGCTATCAATCTAACCATGATATTACCAAAGTAAAGTGCGACACTTGAGGGTGTTTAAATTGGTGTTGATGCACTTAATTTGAAACGTTAGTGAAGCTTGATAAGGGATGCATAATTTAAATGAGTTCAAGATGTGCACTACTGCAACAGTGCACCAAGCGTTTGTTCGTAGTATGTCTATTAAACTATTCTTCCATGTTGCCCATGATTACTCATTCTTCATTTGTTATACAGACATACGATGGGATGATTATTGGCGAACACTCACGAGATACAGATCTTGACGTAAGGAGCAATATTCTTACATTGATTGTGAGTATCATGTAAGAGTCAGTGACTCATGGAGATTGATTGTGATCCTGCAGGTCAATCCAGTGAGAGCTAAGGAACTCACAAATAATCGTGCTGCTGGCAGCGATGAAAATGTCAAGCTGTCTCCTCCTCGCCTTGTATGTGCTTAAGATTTTCCTGTTAGATTATTTTTGTCATTTCCTTAATTAAGATGAGTGAGAATTCTGTTAGTTAGTGGGTGCATGATTACGCATGGATGAATTCCAAAGTTTGATGTCATGTATTGAAGAAATTATCAATATCCTTTGCAGATGACACTTGAAGAAGCCATAGGATATGTGGCTTCAGATGAGCTTATTGAGGTTAGTTGTAGCCTTGATACATTATTGTTATACATCAGTTATCAACGTTTTCTTCATTCGGCATCTTCCACTTACTTTGCACGTTCTGCACCTTGTTTCTTTGGCTCCTAACAGTAATTCATGATTTTCTCTTTACTGGTTTATTTATTTTGTTATTTTCTGGGTTTTGTGAAGGTGACTCCAAAGGCTATACGGTTGAGGAAGAAATATCTTGATGTTAACAAGCGTAAAAGCATGAGCAAAAAGCCAAAGGAATGAATGAAGAGCTCGTCCCCGAAACATTTTTGTAACAGTAAGTGTATTCTACAGTCATTACTTTACTCAATCACTTATCATTTTTTGGTCATACCGTTCTCGCTTAGTTCAAGTAATTTATAATACTAAAAGAACCATTCTTTAAGCAAAGCAACTGTATGCTTCTATGAAATAAATGAATGGCAATGGAAGAAGTTGCTCGCTGTAATGCATTTTGTATGTCAGAATGGGAAAATGTTGTTTCCTATGACAAGTGACAACACTTGAGTAATGGATTGGCATATTTATAGGGAAAAATGTTTCCTTTAGTAGTCATTACTAGGAATTTTTGCAGCAGTGTTTACTCTAATGCCGTTTTTTGGGTGACCAATGCTATTTTTCATCAAGTTTGGAATTTGTTTCATGTGACCAATAGCGTAAGATTGTGATGATTCATCATGCAATGCGATTGGTTAATTTCTTTCCTTTTTTGGGGGCTCATATTGGTTAAATGACATGACCAGATATTTTTAATTATTCAAAGAGTATTTCGTAATCATTTTCAATCTTCAGTTAACACAGATGAGTGACATGATTTAACGTGAAAGTTGATATATGAAATGTCATCAAAATATGTGATGGCAGAATCATGTATTAGCTGTACTATTGCACTGTTTTGATATTCTATCATGCCATGTTTCTATTGTAGTTATTAACGGTCACGTGACAATTGACTTAATCTACAACAATTGAGCAGGCTTGATCTTTCTTCGTTGGAAGGAATCCTGATCTTGTACAGAATAAAATTCAAAAAGCAAAAAAGAAAAGAAAAGAAAAATCCCATTGGCCTAATGGTGACAGTGACGAACGACAATTGCAAGTGGTTTCGTTGATCATATGAATTAATGACTTGGGGGCATGTTGGCCGTCTTAAGTGCATATTATTCAATGTTGAACTTGAGTAGCCATCAGCGACTAGTTCTTGTTCAAGAACCTGAATTTGAAATGAATACTTTGCTGGGATTTCATCCTATTATTTTATTTATGTTAAAAAAATTCTGTCTAAATTAATTTTATATTATTTTTGTTTAAAGTAAATGAAAATCTATCAACCAGTGGGTTTAACGGAAGGCACTGGTCCTTCACATCATGGTGAACCAAGGGTAATTTAGTGCTTGACTCTCTCAAATAAACAACTAAACAAAATGAAAATCGTAGTCAAAGATAGTTATTATTTATCCAATCTTAATGACAGTGAACCTAAAACGCTTTCCTATCTCTACTTATTCAAAGGATGGGGCTTTCTTAATCACAACAAACAACAAATGACCGAGTTTGGTGTCCGTTAATAAAAGCTTCCACACGTGAGACGAGTATGATAATAAATTATTTCATCCACACGCACGCGCCTCTCAGAACTGCTGTTAATTCTTTTGAATTTAAATGAATTTATTTCTCTTTTTGCACATTAAACATGTTAAACACTTCAACCTATTAAAAAAAAAACACTTATATTATACTTACTCTGTTTAAAAATATAATGTATTTTTAACCAAATTTTATTTCTCAATAAAGTATTATTACTTTTAAATAATCCCATCTTTTCATATTTATCTTTATTAAACACCTATAATAAATATAAACTCACTGGGGCACTTTTCAAAAAAAAAAAATAATTATAATTTAAAAAATTAAAAATACCTTACATTTTATAATAGAGGGAGTATTATTTTATATTAATATCATTATTTTTCATTTTTAAGTACTCTATTAGTATTACTTTTACGTTCGTTCCGGCATCCATATCCCTGGCTTGAACTCTCTGGTTAAGAAGGATTAACCTCTAATCAGTTAATCTAAGTGCTTGCTTAATTAGTATTATTATATTATGAGTTATTATTTCAGACAAAATTAGATAACAAGTTGCTATCCATTAAAATTATAAGTATTATTATTATTGCTCAGAAAGATAAGTGAATAATAAATAAATTAACTAATTTTAAAAAAAAACATTTACCCGAGGAGATAAAATGGAAAATGGTTTTATAGGCCCTCCCTTAATTCTCTCTAATCTCTATCACCAAAAATCAAAATGGCAGGGAGTCGTTTGTGGGCGAAAGCAATATACATACAAAAAGCCAAACTCTTTTTTTTTTGTTTTTATCGAGAAAGAGAGGGAGAGAGAGAAGATTTGAGCTTTGAATGCTTCTCCCTCCTTCTCCAAGCGGCGCCTACACTACGCGCCTTTCTCTTTCGCTCTTCCTGCAATGCTCAAGGTTGCGATATTCAATTGCAGTTCCCCATTTGAAGGCCATAATTGCATTTAAAACTCTCGCTTTTTTTTGTCCCTTTCTTTCGATTTTGATCCAACCACAATACATCTCGTTTCAATCAGACTCCCACGTCTGATCGATTCCCCCCCCCCCCAAGAAATGGCTGCTTATAGGGCCGATGATGATTACGATTACCTGTTCAAGGTGGTGCTAATTGGCGACTCCGGTGTTGGCAAGTCCAATCTCTTGTCTAGATTCACCAAGAACGAATTCAGCTTGGAATCCAAATCCACAATTGGGGTTGAATTCGCTACCCGTAGCGTTCATGTCGATGACAAGATTGTGAAGGCGCAAATTTGGGACACAGCAGGCCAAGAAAGGTATTCTTCTGTTTTTCTTGTCATTTCTTTTTCGCTTTGATCTGGTTCTTTACGTGTAGTATGTCTCATTTGGTGATTAGAAATATATGAATTTGAAAGATTGAAAGGTGTTTGTATGGTCTAAAGGATGGTTTCTCCACATAAATGTTCATGGTTTTATTAGTTTTACCTGTAGAATTTGATTCGCCAATGATGCGGACTGCCCGGTCGTTTTGATTATATTGAGATTCTTGCTTTGGATCTGGAATTCTGGATAATGAGGTCTCTGGACTACAAAGATATATTCTTTTATTAATTTTCTTCGCCTCTTTTATCAATTGAAAAAAATTATTGTGAGCGAATTCTGTAGGATACAGGACAGTTGGACGCCCACCCTTTTGTATGTAGGATTGATCTTCCTTAGAGTAATCCATAAAGCAAGTTGAACAGTGATTTAGTGAATGGTTTCAGGACCACCTTTAGACAGCACTTTCTATTTCTTCCTTTTATTTCTAGTTCGACCCATGGATAATGTACTCTTGGCTGATGGTAGAGCAGGATTGTTTCTATGGTATATTGTTGCTGTTGAAAGAAAATGGTGGAGAGAAAAATTGAAGTCGAACACATCATTTTGTTGACGTTTGAATTTCTTTATAATTTTGATGCTGGCTATTGCCCCCCCCCCCCCGGGAGTGAAAGGAGATTTCATTCAACTGAGAATAAAAAACTGTACAGAGCAACAAGTCAAGAAGAAAAGACCACGAGGCTAACCATTACCTTCAAGATGGTTAATAAGGTTTCGAAACAAAATCATTAACACAAAATATGAGCTTATCAGCAGAAACTGATAGATCTGGTGCTTCTAACATACGAAATAGATCAGTTTACATTGCATTGGAACTATGCATGTTCAATGGGGAGGGGCAAATAATCCTCCTAAGATGGTCATTCTTCTTGCCAAAATTTTTGTCTAATTTCAATATTAGGTTGTGTTTGTCTGAAACGAATATTATTATGACAGTTCAGAGGGCCATGATATTGACTATATGAATTTTGCAAATTAAGGCTGGATGATGACCTAATGTAAACTTGTTGCCGAATGTGACATGTAACTAAATCATTCTCATTATTGTTATTTGATGCAGATACCGAGCAATAACAAGTGCATACTATCGAGGAGCTGTTGGTGCCTTGCTTGTTTATGATGTGACCAGACACATTACTTTTGATAACGTGGAGAGATGGTTGAAGGAGCTTCGGGATCACACAGACGCCAACATTGTGATCATGCTTGTGGGAAATAAGGCAGATCTTCGTCACCTGCGTGCTGTGTCGACTGATGATGCCAAGGCATTTGCTGAGAGAGAGAACACCTTCTTCATGGAAACCTCAGCCCTTGAGTCCTTGAATGTGGACAATGCTTTCACAGAAGTGCTCACTCAGATATATCATGTTGTTAGCAAGAAGACTCTTGAGATTGGGGATGATCCTGCTGCATTACCCAAGGGACAGACAATCAATGTCGGAAGCAGGGACGATGTCTCAGCTGTTAAGAATGCTGGATGCTGCTCGGCTTAGTTTGGAGATGGAAAAAGGGAAGGATTTGACAGCATCCTTATCTGTTTCATCTGAACTAATAATCAACAACATGGGATCTGTTAATATTTACATTTTTCCCCTCTGAGCATTGTTTGGTGATGATATATAGAAATGGCGTTCTTTGAAAGATTATACCAAAGTTTACTGTTTTCATGCGAAATGAAAATTTCCATGTTTGAAGACAATTCATGTTAAAATTACTCCCTCTGATTCTCATTACAAAGACCTTTTTGCATGCTTTTTAATATAACATGCCTTGTCTCAAGTATTAATCTTTTCAACTTAGCATCCTTAACCAGCTGTAAAACTAATTAAATATACTTCTCTAACTAATAGCTTTTATCGAGGATGATTTTGAAATTTTACAAGATATATCTAATTTTAAACAACTTAATTTATGTAAAGTTATTAATATGTATTAAATATTTATAAAATGGACTGATGGCACTTATTAGTGTTTTCCTATCCTTATTTTTTCATTGCAAGAAGAGAGAATTGGTTTAAACATAGACAGGTATTACAAATTTTAAAGGCTTCATATTAGAATTAAAGCTTTAATATGACTTGTCTGCACCTCACGTGCATATTATATTGGATGCTTATAGCTAAGAGATTCAAATGGATTACGCAAAATGAAAGTTCAAAATGTAAGTTGATAACTAATATTGGTTAGGTTAGATGGAAGAGACTCAATTTCCTTTAAAAAAAAATTAATTGTTCGATTTCCTTAAAAAAAAAGTTAATTATTCAAATCTTATGATAAGAATCATGTTATAAGAATTATTTTAATTGAATCGCTAATATTCAAATTTGTCTCCACAGTATCACATGTAAGATAATTGTATTTAATTTGACATGGCAACTGCATAGCAGGAAAGTCTCACCGTACATCACATTTCTTTTTTATTTTTCCCTTGTTGGTCATCTCAATTAATTGACTTTTAATTCAACTTTTACCTGATGTTAAAGTACGTGAAGTCGATGTGCTTGTTCTTAATTCATTTAAAAATCAATAGTAATATTTTTTTTTTCCAAATCACGTGTGAAATTGGTGACATCATGAATGATGATTTTATATGTTTGTTAGCTATAATAAATTGATTATTAAATATTCAGAAAACACATTTGTTTGCCAAAACAAACAACAAATTAGTTATAAGAAAATCATCTTTTAATGAATAAATCAATATCGTAAATGTGTGCCTGATAAAATATTGTTTTATGCTTGTTAATTAATTACATCACAACAAAACAAAATATAATTTTAGAAAAAAAGATTATCACTCCATATATTCTTCTTGTAAAATGAGCCTAATCAAAAATGCCGTCATTATCCTCAATTCACCATTTGGATCAGAATAATCGCCGCGTGTTTACATTGGTCCTCCAAAACAGAAGTTGCAGGTAACATTGGTCCTCCAAAACAGAAGTTGCAAGTGAAATGATTAAATGAACAAGACCAGAACAAAAGCATGCCATTGTTGTCTCATTTAACAGCAGGAAGATGATGCATGCATATTGTATACACCAGCACACGACCTGTACATTTTTACCATTCTTATGCATTTGTTTCACTAAAACTCAAACTACATCACTATTAGATAATTAGCATATGCACAGAAACTTGATGCTACTAAATATTCAGCAAGTCAGAAATCAGTGTACTACCCAACAAAAAGGGACATCCTGATGAACACTTGACTATTGTAAGCAGTACCTTCCTCTTCCCTATGAAACAAGGTCAACTTCGATATATGCTGCCTTAGTTTCTCATGACTAGACATAACCCAACATTCAATTATCCAAAACTCCATAACCATAGAATTAGGCACAAATCTACCACCAGAAATTGCTGTTACCTTTCCCATGCCGTGTTAATAGTTTCAGCCTGCTGTATGGCATCCTAAAATATGTACATGTTACTGTTAGTCAGACATTTAACAGAATCACCACAAGGGATCTTCACTGGACCAAAGATTCCCTGGCTCAGCCCCGGATTTTCCTTGAGGGTCTTGATTATCTTCTGGAACGTCAGCAGTTAGCCTTCTCAGTTTTTTTTGCAGATCAGCAAGAGATTCTCCAGTCACTTTAACTTTAGGACTTCCCTTTCCATCTTTAGTTCCAATCGGTACAATGAACAGCCATCATGATTATGGATCTAATACTCATACAAGTGCCACTCACGATCACTTTGAGGCTGATGGTCCACGTAATAGGACCTTTTCAGTCCCCCATATTCTTTCATCACCCGCTTCCTTGATTCATGCCAACCGCAACCCTTGTAATCCGGGAGCGATCTCTGTTTTCTGGTTCCACTCTCAAACACCCTTCCAGGCTTGTCAAAGAAAAGCCACTCCCTCAATGTTTCACCCTCAAGCAAAGAAATATCAAATAACTCTGCCATAGAAGAAGGCCAATTATTTACACCTAAACAATGCAGACAACTCATAGAACTCCAGGGCGCACACAAAATCGTAAAAAAATGAAAAAGCAAGGACCAAAAAAAAAAAAAAACTCAAGAAAAGAAATATCAAATAACTCCGCAGTTGAAGGAAAGCCGATTATTTATGCTAAGAAAACACATGGAACTCCAGCGCATGCACTAAGATAAAAACTGAAAAGCATGGCACAAAAAAAAGCATCCACAATACTTCAAGCAAGAAGGCCTATTGCTACAAGTTTAACTAAGAAAACGGTGAGATATACATTAAAACTTAAAAATAGTATGTATGACTTCATGTCTACCTACCAGGAGCATTCCAGGGAGACTTACTAAAAGTAGCACCTTCACATTTAGGGATGCCCACTCCCTTTCCCTGTGTCTTTGCACCAGGAGCAGCAAACAGGGGACCATCTTTTACACCAATCCCATGAGGTCGCAAAATCGGAGTCATGCCAAGAAGAGCCTCGTTATATGCCGAAATTTCATGATAGCTACTGCAGTAGTCCTGGCACGATTTTAACCCTATAGCAGGCCTAAAGCAATCCCATAGAGCATATTTTGGTCCTAGAAAAGCAGAAGGTGGAGGACAGATATAGGGAAAAATGTTACGCTCAGCATCCTCTCCATCTTGTTTGGGGTCATGAGCTATAACAGAAGTCCCAGAGTCAAAGCCTTCATGTAAACTAAATGGAATTGAATCTGAATTTTTCATCATGTTACGATTGTAGTTCTGCCATGAATCAAGCTGAGAAATCAAATCAGGCTTACGGCCAATTTTGTTGTCAAGATCTTGACTCAAACTATATCGAATTGAGATCCAAATGAAAAATCATATCAGAGTTATTCGTAGCAGTGCTGTACCAAGGTGAAGGAGGGCATTCAAATTGGTCGTATGATTCAAAAGCTTGACCTCGTGGCTGATTATCATCAAAACACTTCTGCAAAAAGCCAAAAAAGGATAAAATTGAATTAACATGAACACTGTTCATCCCTCTGTGTGTATGGGTGCATTTGTTGGAAGTGATTTTTCTAGTTTGTAAAGTATGGACGGATCCATTTTTCCCCCTTTGAACCTCCAACTATAAATTAATGACAAACTGTCATATATCTGGACAGAAAGTTGTAATGAGGCAGCAAGATCTTCCTGCTTATTTCAACAATTTGAACATAAGAAAACCTATATCTTAGTCAAGGTTTTCCCAAGCTAGGAGACCAAACTCCGCACAAGCACAAATGGTCTTAAGCCCCTAAGCCACATAGCAACTGTAAGCGATGTTCTTTAATTTAATATTATTCTTAAAAAGTATACAACTGAGCACCATAGCATGATAAATGAATATAATACAGGTAAATTATTGTTTACAAATTACGAATCAACCAGCACACAACAAAGTGAAAAACCATAAAAAGGGCCCTTCATAAGCAATGAAAGAAACTCATTTCTTGAAACAAAAGTCTTATCCCGCTAGATATAGTAGGCTAAATGAATTGCACAACATCATTATATTCTATCAACAACCAAGCTTTTAGAAATATTACTAACTATGAAGTCTTGTTTAACAACTTTCATAAGTATTCTTTTTGTTTTTCCTCTGTCTTTTTACAGGGTTCAAGATTAGTCATTTCATTCTTCTCACCAATACCTTCCACGACCTTCACTGAAGGTGTCAAAACTATCTCAAATGATTTTTACTATTTTTTCTTTAATACATGTCACGCTCATTTTAGATTTTATCTTTTCATATATGCTCATACATTTATCTCAACATTTTCATCTCTGCTACTCCAACTTTATACTAATGTTGTCCCTTAAAAGCTCAACATTCACTACCATGTAATATAGCTGGTCTTATAGCAATTCGATCAAACTTTTCTTTAAGTTTATTAGATACCTTTCAACTACAAATAACTCCTTTAACCTTTCTCCAATTAAACCATTTAACTTGTATTTTATGTGCAACATCCTCATTAATTTCCCTATCGTGTTGAATAATAGTTTTAAAATATCTAAACTTTTTCACTTGAGATATAATTTGGTTTATAATCTCACTTCCAAATTATTATTGACTGATTTCTTATCAAAATTACAATTGCAAATATTCCATCTTACTCCTACTAAAGTGAAAACCCTAAGATTCCAAGGTCATTCTCAATAACTCAAATTTGTAGTTAATCTCTTCTTTTATTTCCGCAATAAGAACTATATCATCTGTAAAAAGTATGTATTTGAGAATTTTCCCTTGAACTATATCACTTCGTGAAATTGTAAGAAAATAGTGAGTCTATGAGTTTGTGAGAGCTAGGTCAAATAAATGTGTTAGTACCAGTCAGCTTGGACTTGTACAGTTTGCGTAACCGTTTGCACAGCCTAATTTGCAGTTATGCAGTCAATAAGGGTGCTTGGCTAATAAAGTTATTGTATCTCATGTAGATTAGCATAAGAAATTATGGGTATTTGTTTTCATAAGGTTATGGATATAAACAAATAAATCATACTATACAACAACAACCTTATCCCTCCCATTCTGTGGGACATACTACATATTATGAAAAGAAAAATGATATGATATACGACATTGCCACATGATGTGAATTTTTTCTTTATCTTTAAATATCAAAGGAATTATGTTGAAAGAAAAACTCAAGCAAAAAAATAAAAAGAAAAAAATACAGGTAAATTATTGTTTCCAAATTACAAATTAACCTATCAGCCAAAAAACTTTAGAAATTAGCCAACAAACC